TGTTCTTTCTTTGATGTAATTTTTTCAATTAATATAGTTAACTCTTTGATGCAAAGAGTTGAAGAGTGTGTTGGAGACTCTCCATTTATTTCTTTATATTTAAACTCTAAAATGATATATCCTATGATATATATATATATGTATGTATGTATATATATATATATACCAAAATAGAAAGTTCAAAGCAATTACGACTTATTCGGAAATTGGATATCGTCACTGATTCTCATGTACAAAATGAAAACTTTATTCTTGATTTTACCAGAATTTTTATGAAAACATTTCATTTCTTTTTTTTCCATGCAAGTTTCACTTTTTCAAAATATATCTTAATTTTTAGCCTAATTTTGATCGATTCAACCTCTAATTAAAAGAATAAATCTTGATTTTATTTCATCTCTACAATAAGTTTAGTAATAAGTATAACGGCCTGTTATTTCATCTATAAAGTATATTGAATGTACAAATATGATCGTAACTATTATTCGTATCTATTATTCATATTAACATCTACTCTGGAGGAATATTTTTATGTGGTGCTATAGGAAACACAAACTTATCAATTATTTTGGTGGTTAATATAAGTTTGTTAAGGTTAAAGATATATCATTAATGCTATAAACATCATAAACAAAATGATATTCTAATAAAAACATTCATTTACATATTCTAATAAAAAAAGATAAAACTTATATTAAATGATGTCTCAATCTCAAATTTCTAAATTTCTTTCCTCCTCCTAATCTAACAACATCTTTATATCTTAGCAATTATATCTCTTCAAACAAAATAGTTTATTTCGTATTTGACAAAGGGAGTCATGCCCATTTGGTTAAGACGCTAGACGATACTTTATCGCATGATATTGAAAACATGGTACCAAATTGGATATTGATTGATAATGTAGCATTGGTAGCATTGGTAAAGATATTGACTCGATAAAATAGTTACATATTGTAGCTCTAACGATTTAATGTACAATCTCATAACTCATAAGGCACATAACTACTCTCAATGTTTACCACAATCTCACCATGATGGTCACCCATTATACTATAAAAGACCCTCTAGAGTGCATTCTAAATAGAGTGCATTCTAAATGAGATTAACTTTGACTATATTATTCTAATAAATCTCATATTAAATTAAGTATTAGAGGAACGTCGTTAAGCACACCATCACATAACTTTTGAATGGTATAGGATCAAATTCTCAACATTTCAACACCGTAACTTGACTTAGAAATGGACCTCACCCTTTCAAACCTGAACTCAGAATGATAATTTTTCATTGTCAAATCCGTCTTGCGATCATTTTCTAAACCCATTTTTGAACCCGACACCACTTTTTCAATAATGCATATAAATCAATCATGGAGTATCCCCTAACAAGTAAATCATCGTGTCTCGATCCTTTTCACATGTAATAACGCGATGGGGATAGATAATATTGAGAGCACGACATATAGTAACCACTAATATATAAGTCATGCTGATTCAGTGGTCTAACACATAAGTTAAGATTTAGGAGTCAAAAATATGATGCCGACTAAAGTGTTGACTCGATCTCACATGATCGATAATATAATACTGAAAAGGATATTATTTCAATAAAATTGTTGCCCCACGATTATAACCCTAATGATTTAGTTCACAGTCTTATGACTCGTTGACGATTGAAGGATGCATATAATTATTCCCAACATTACACTAATAATCACCAATTCTAGTATTAAAGGCTCTCCAAGTGCATTATAAAAAGGACACACTCTCTCTCTCTCTCTCTCTCTCACATACATGGGTGGGTGATGTACACGATCATTTTCAATTCAATAATGCATATAAATCAATCATGGAGTATCCCTTAACAAGTAAATCATCGTGTCTCGGCCCCTGTCACATGTAATAAAATGATGGAGATAGATAATATTAAGAGCACGACATACATATAGTAACCACTAACATATACGTCATACCAAGTCAATGGTCTAACACATAAGTTAAGATCGAATCTAGGAGTCAAAATTTTTTCAAATTTTTATTTAATAATATTTTTTCTACATAATCGATTCGAATACATGTGTAATGTACACGATCCTATCACGCGTCCATGTACTTGTGATAAAAACTTTCCACGTAAGACCGATGCATAGATACACGCAAGCCTCGACCACGTTCATGCATGCGTGCATTCATCTGCATCATCGCGATACCTGATAAAGTCACTCCATTAATACGGATGCATGAATCCACGAGTTGCTTTTGGGTTATAAATAGGAGCAACATATGAACCAAGTCTTGTCCAAATTATCTCAGCTGTTGGTTCTTCTTTCTTCGTCTCCATCTCCCATAGTCCATAGGAAAATGATAACAATCATGGAATATGAGTTTTCCTATTTTAGCTTTGAGGTTTAGAGTTTGATCCCATCTTACCAATCACCCTGCAACGCAACGTAAGTATACATTTTACTTTAAATTCCATTCATCTCTTGATGACTATTTATATATAGCATATTTTTATAAGCATAAAAAAATTAATCATAAAAAAATATTTTTATAAAAATAAAAGGCATTTCTAAGTGGCTTGATGAAGATTTTAAGTTCGGATCCTTTGCTCTGATGATTGTGTGATCACTAAACCCAAAAACCTAAGATGTTAGGAAAAACTTAATATATGCTTTAACATCCTTTCTCACGAGTGAGCCAATGTATAAACAAAATCGAGTATATGGTGCAAGTACAAATGAAGGGAAGAACGAGTATTGCATAAATATTTTTATTAGAGAGAGAAATATAAGCGAAACTCTATCGGAGGGAGAGAAAATCCCAAAGAGAAAAAAATTAACTTGACGTTGAACAACAACTACATCAGCATTATAAAAAACAATAGTCTTAGTGTTGGACAACTAAAGGAAATATGATGAGATAATTAGATGATAAATAAATAATAGAAAAAAATCTAGAGAGAGAAGAGAAAAGGACCCAATTTGTAGAATTCTTAACTCGACAATGAGCTTCGAGAGAGGAGATGAAGAAAAGAATAGTTCTTGAATTCGCTCCGAGCTCTCCAACTCATAACCGGGGGTGAATTATGGCCTTACACTCCTCATGTTTAGTGAGAACTAAAATTCTTATTCTTTTAGTAGTCGATCATCAATTATAATTTTTTTGTTTCTATATAAGTCAAAAATATTTAAAATCGACATATCAATATATTGTATCATGTCAAGATAAACCTCTAAAATTATCTTATCAAATAATCTTTCTTCTTTATCAAATAATTATATTATCAATATAGGAAATAAGATCGTTGTTGCTAAGTGATAACCCGAATATGTTGATTGAACGTGAAATCAACTTCTTTGTTTCCATGTATGCAGAATGTGATTCCGCTCCCCGTCCACCACCTGTTTGTGCTCCAAAGTCATTTCCTTGTAGCACTTGGAGCAAAAGTTCATGGTCGCCGCACTTGCACAGAAACCACAGTTGCCGATGCAAGGGGACTGGTCCTCCCGGAGCTTTGCATCTGCGACGCCGACTGAGGCCATCTTCTTCCCTGCATTTGTTGCAGGAACCTTCGAAGACGGTAGGCAGATCGTCGATCAACTCCAACTGATAGTCCTTGAAGATCTCTTCGCCGGTGCTCGGAGCCGGAGCCGCCATGGCGAGCGAGCGAGCGAGCGATCGAGAGAGGGAGATGGAATACTTCTCGTACGTGCTGAAGCTACAGTTGTCGACGAATCGATCCGAGAACAAAAAGGGTTCGCTCTCCCAACGCGACACGTTGATTTGGTCAACGGATTTGGAGCACGTGGAACGCAGCCTTCCATCCACCTCTGTTTCACGCCGCAGAAGAAAAACGTGCTGCCCCATGCGTTCCCACGCTGCCACGTCCTCATTCACGCCGGTCGCCAACTCAGCGTAGAAACAAATCTGTAATAGGAGTGCATGTATTGTTACTGCTGCTCTTCTCGTCGTATGTGTCATCTTCATTTATAGCTATTAGGAACGAGATGATCGGTCACAGACTTTTGGACCGCTGGCTGCAATGGATCAATGATACGTGGCACAAATGACTTGACATAACACATATATTAAAATGAGGAGGACTTTCATGTACTGCCTACTGGTACGACCTAATGATTGGAGCCACCTATAGCTGCTCCTGTCGAAGCCCTGAGACGTAAAAGTCAAATCCATCCACCTTCATCTTCTCCGACTCTTCTTACTCCCGAGCTACGGCAACAACAGCACACCCCATCTCTGCCTTTAGCATATGGACTACACTTGGAAAGTATATTCCCTGGCATTAAAAGATTACGGTGGATAGGCTCAGGAAAACCAAAAGGTCGCAGGGGAAGATGACAAAGAAGAAAAGAATCCATATGGTCTTCAGCTACCTAAAAGTAAGCATCATGGAAACAAGGCGACAAGGAGAGGGAGAGGATTGAGCCCAGAAAACTATTGTTGTCGTCTGCGGGTACCTAACGACATGAAACAGCTCGACTCTGCTCGTGCCTTTGCGTTTCCACGTTTGCTCGGGGAAGATGGGGCCAGGGGGAGCACCGATTGACTTCGGCTTCGACACGTGGAGCGGAAAACCGGGCGAGGCCGTCCTTCCACGCGAGCGTGGCCGTCCGCGTCGGGGTAGCGTTGGCTTTTGGGCAACCATGGACGAGATGCTTCTTTGCTTCTTATATCAACCACCTCCCGGCGTTCCAAGTCATCCACCTGCCTCTTCTCTCTCTCTTCCTCTCTGGGGCTTGTGTTGGAGCTCTAACGATGGGGATCAGCGGGTGGCGCCGTGGGCGGATCATTGGCAGGGGGACCTCCGCTACCGTCTCGCTCGCCACCTCGGTGTCCTCGGGCGACGTCTTCGCGGTCAAGTCGTCGGAGCTCTCTCGCTCTTGGCTCCTGCAGAGGGAGCAGAGGATCCTCTCCGCGCTCGATTCGCCGTTCGTCGTCTCTTATTTTGGTTTCGACGTCGCCGCCCAGACGCCAGGAGCAGGTCTCTGCTATAATCTTTTCATGGAGTACGCTGCCCGGGGCTCGCTGTCCGACGAGATCAGGAAGCAGGGCGGTCGGCTTGACGAGCTCGCCATCCGATCCTACGCATGCGACATCCTCGGCGGGCTGGCCTACCTGCATTCCAACGGCGTCTTCCATTGCGATCTGAAGAGCCAGAACGTCTTGATATGCTCCGGTGGGCGGGCCAAGGTTGCGGACTTTGGGTGTGCGCGGAGCGCAGAGGAGGAGGACGAGGACGAGAGGGGATGGATGAGGGGCACGCCGATGTTCATGGCGCCGGAGGTCGCGCGGGGGGAAGAGCAGAGCGCGCCAGCTGATATCTGGGCCCTGGGATGCACCGTCATCGAGATGGCCACCGGTCGACCCCCATGGCCGCTCGTCTCGGACGCCCTTAGCGCTCTCCACCAGATCGCCTTCGCCACCGACGTGCCTGAGTTCCCGCGATGGATCTCCGAGGAGGGAAGGGACTTCTTGAGCAGGTGCTTGAGGAGGGATCCTCTGGAGCGGTGGACGGCGGAGCAGCTGCTCCAACACCCGTTCGTTGCCGCGTCTCGTGTCGCCAATCCTCCATCGAAATCCGACTGGATTTCTCCTAAAAGCACTCTCGATCAGGCCTTCTTGCAGTCGCTTTCCGACGACGACGACGACGACGACGGCCAGGTGCTGGACCAAACAGAGGAGGACCCATTCGAGAGGATGCAGAGCCTAATCGGAGACGCTGCTCCCAACTGGACGTGGGATGAGACCTGGGCGACGGTGCGAAGTAATGGCGGCTTTCCGGTGACCGAATCCATCACCGAAGACGGGAGATCAACAAATCCAATCACGGATAGCAGCGAACAACTCATGCTCAGCACGAACCCCATGGAGACAGGGCATGTCGGTGGCAACAGATCAAGCGACCATAACTTATCTGAAACTAGTGTTCTTCCAATAGCGGAGGGACGCATCCTCCTCAAATGTAAAACAGAGAATTGTACATTCGAGAATGCCAACTTTTCCTTGATGAACAACAAGGAACGCACTCGAGCTCCTTTTGGCCATCGAACTCCAATCTTTCCATCTGTGATGTCCAATTCCGAGCTACGGATTAATGCGCAGCTACAGCTCCTTAGTCACTAGAAAACAAAAACTGGTTACCGCGCATAGAACGGCGATCACGTTGACACGAATGGAGTAAACGGGGGGAAACAGCGGTGGGTGCTACAAATCTGTCGGTGTCAATGGTGTAGGAAACTACAGAAGATGGCGGCGTGGAGCAATGCAAGTTACAGTTTTCCGGCCTTGGCTTCAACGCACCACGCTCGGCACATGATTCGTGCCATTGTTTTGAGCCACGAATCTAATAGACCACCGACAAGTAAATTAGAATTATATTAAGACCGGCAGCCGTATTCGGTCCGTCGTCCCTTCGGCGATGGGCTGACGCTTGATGACGTAGAATTCGTTCGTCATATCAGGTAGGTAATAGTCGACAGGATGACGTCAGGGATCTGTATACCAACATTAAATAATAATAATAATAATAATTATAGCTAAGAGTCTCGACAGGTATAAGATAATGTTACCTAATCTTCGCACTTGGCACGACGATTCGATTCAAATCGAAACGAAATGAACTGAAATTAAAATTAACTCGATCTAGTTGTTCATCGAGTCTAAGTTAAATTAGAACCGGTAAGATTGTTCGGTTTTAATTCTTAAGTTTGAAAAATCGAAATGATTGATTAGATGATTGAAAAAAATTTGACAGTCAAATAAGGCAATTCAAAAAAGCCAAAGTCAAAGTTAAAAATCTTCACGCTACATTTCAAGATGATAACTTTCCGAAAGAATATTGAGAAGAAACATCTAACATAAGTTAGAATTAAAAAAGTCATGTAAATTTTTGAGTATCATATTAATTTTACTTTTTTATTTTTCTATTAAAAATTCATAAAACACTAGTAAAATTAATTTTCATTGAATATTTATCTTTTTTGTTTCAGTAAAATATTTATTTTGTTGACTATTGCCAAGAGGCTTTAAAACCCACTGCTCAAAGAATTTCTCGAACCACTAAATTTATATAATTTTAATAAAAAAAAAGATATATGAATAAAAACTAAGCTTTTGATCGATATGTTTCTATTTATATTGATATTTAGGATGATCAGTGACAAATACACTCCTACATAAGAATCAATTATCATGAATTATTGCTTTTTATAGCTTTTGATGAATGACACTCAACCAATAATATTTATAGAATGATAAAAATAATTTTAGAAGAATGTTATTTGATTCTTAAAATTTTTACTATTGGTTTTGATAATACAATGATAAATATTATTTTTATTTTGGAATTACAAGAAGTATGTCAATCGGATTTATGTTTCTTTCTTTCATCAAGTAATTTATTTCATCAAGCAATTTATAAACTAAATGATAAAATACTCAGAAATTGATTTAGGGAACCTATGCGGGTCCCGAGTGTGGGACCACAAACATTATGTTCATTAATGGGATTGATCACTGCAAGTATATCATCCGTCCAAATCTGTAATGAATGGAGTCGTTCAAGTCTATTATTGTACCACCGAGTGGAATCAGCATTGTTGAATTCTTGAGCATCGAATCCCTATTTTTCTTTCTCTTTCTTCATAATTATTTTTGAGTAACGAACGACTTTATGTAGATCTATGATCAGTAGCAGTTTCCCATGGGTTCGGTAAACTTAATTGATGCTTACGACATTGATGATTTAGTGACACGAGTCGTTCATCACAATTTGGATGGATCGATGATCTATATTCGAAACATTACGATGGAGTCCTCCGTGGTTACACGTACTCGCAACATAAGCTAATCCCTCTCGACGATGGTTAATACTAAGCACATCTAAATTCCAAGATATCATACCATCATTATGAGTTTTCAAAGGATCTATAACATCATAATGTGGTAAAGGACATTTATACCGAGTGATATCTCAAACTCAAATCGAGATTTTGTCTCCACCCGATCCAATAAATTCATATCTTGTGAAAGTGCACTTGTGATCCAAATTAGACATGCAAGCCTTGTTTATGTTCATGCATGCACACAGCTGCATGTCCGATTCATGATATGGCCGCTCCCCTAACACAGATGCAACGAATCCACGAGCGTCTTTTAGGTTATAAATCGAGGAACCATCCCAACCATGTCTTGTCCAAAGTGGCTTTGCATTCCACACTAGGTGGGCGACCTAAAACTCACCGAATCTACTCGAGTCAAAGACTTAGCTGGGCGACCTAACAGCCTTTGCTCCATCCAACGCCACGGGGAGACTTCTCAGAAGTCAACGGCCCGTTGGTTTGGTTGTCGGATTTGGAGCACGTGGAAAAAACCACGAAGTGTCGGCTGCGACTTCCATCCGCTCCCGTTTCACACCGGATGGCTCGGAAACGTGAACCATGCGTTCCGACACTGTCACCAGTTGCCGATCGGGCCCCACTCACAGCTCAGTATAGGAAAAATCTGCGGTAGTCGTACTTCCATGGTTACTTGATGACTTGTGACTGCTTCTATTCTTGTCGTATATATATCGTCTTCATTTGTGGCTATTGAGAACGCGATGCTCGGTCACGGCATCGTAGACCAATGGCTGCTAATAGTGAATGTAATGTGGCAGGAATGGCTTCGTTTTTCGACACGTGGACCGGTGAACGCGGACGCGGCCTTCTTTCAACGCGAGCGTGGACGGCCGCCTCGGAGGAGCATTGACTTTTGGAGAAGCCACAGAGGACGCGCTCTTCCTTGCTTTTTATATCGGCTACCTCCCCGCGCACAAAGTCGTCCATCTCTTTCCTCTCTCTCGCTCGTGTTGGAGTTCTAACGATGGGGATCAGCGGGTGGCGCCGTGGGCGGATCATTGGCCGGGGGACCTCCGCTACCGTCTCGCTCGCCACTTCGGTGCCCTCGGGGGAGGTCTTCGCGGTCAAGTCGTCGGAGCTCTCTCGCTCTTGGCTCCTGCAGAGGGAGCAGAGGATCCTCTCTGCGCTGGATTCGCCGTTCGTCGTCTCTTATTTTGGTTTCGACGTCGCCGCCCAGACGCCCGGAGCCGGTCTCTGCTATAATCTTTTCATGGAGTACGCTCCCCGGGGCTCGCTGTCCGACGAGATCAGGAAGCAGGGCGGTCGGCTTGACGAGCTCGCCATCCGATCCTACGCATGCGACATCCTCGGCGGGCTGGCTTACTTGCACTCCAACGGCGTCGTCCATTGCGATCTGAAGAGCCAGAACGTCTTGATCTGCTCCGGTGGGCGGGCCAAGGTTGCGGACTTTGGGTGCGCGCGGAGCGCAGAGGAGGAGGACGAGGACGAGAGGGGATGGATGAGGGGCACGCCGATGTTCATGGCGCCGGAGGTCGCGCGGGGGGAAGAGCAGAGCGCGCCAGCTGATATCTGGGCCCTGGGATGCACCGTCATCGAGATGGCCACCGGACGACCCCCATGGCCGCTCGTCTCGGACGCCCTTAGCGCTCTCCACCAGATCGCCTTCTCCACCGACGTGCCTGAGTTCCCGCGATGGATCTCCGAGGAGGGAAGGGACTTCTTGAGCAGGTGCTTGAGGAGGGATCCTCTGGAGCGGTGGACGGCGGAGCAGCTGCTCCAACACCCGTTCGTTGCCGCGTCTCGTGTCGCCAATCCTCCATCGAAATCCGACTGGATTTCTCCTAAAAGCACTCTCGATCAGGCTTTCTTGCAGTCCCTCTCCGACGACGACGACGACGGCCAGGTGCTGGACCAAACAGAGGAGGACCCATTCGAGAGGATGCAGAGCCTAATCGGAGACGCTGCTCCCAACTGGACGTGGGATGAGAACTGGGTGACGGTGAGAAGTAATGGTGGCTTTCCGGTGACCGAATCCATCACCGAAGACGGGAGACCAACAAATCCAATCACGGATAGCAGCGAACAGCTCATGCTCAGCACGAACCCCATGGCGACAGGGCATGTCCGTGACAACAGTTCAAGCGACCATAACTTATCTGAAACAAGTGTAGTTCCAATAGCAGAGGGACTCATCCTCACATGTAAAACAGAGACTTGTAACTTCGAGAATGCCAACTTTTACTCGATGAACAAGAAGGAACGCACTCAAGCTCCTTTTGGCCATCATACTCCGATCTTTCCGTCTACGATGTCCAATTCTTATCTTTGGATTAATGCGCCGCTACAGCTCCTCAGTCACTAGAAAACAAAAACTGGTTACCACGCATAGAACGGCGATCACGTTGACAGTAGGAATAGTCGGCTGGGAGAAACAGCGGTGGATATTACAAATCTGTCAGTGTCACAGCGCAGCAGACTACAGAAGAAGATGGCGTTGAGCAATCCAAGTTACACAGTCTGGCCTTGCTTTCAATGCACGGCGCTCGGCACATGATTCGTGCCAATCTGTTGAGCTCCGAATCTAATAGACCACCGCAGAACATTACATTATATTATGACCGCCGGTCGTTGGCTGACGTTTGATGACGTGGAACTCGTTCGTCATCGCAGCAAGGTTACGGTGACCAGATGTCGTCAGCGATCTGCGCACCAACTTAGCAGTAGTACTTAAAGACTAGTAGCACCGAGTGTAAGTTTACCCGCATCTCTTACCTGGCCCGGGATTAGATCTGGGAACGGCCCCATTCGGGGCGCAAGACGTCATAAACACCACATTTATTGATTTGGGTTGTCCATCGTTTGAGATATCAAGCAGAGACAGATCTATCTTGACGCATTAAAGGGATCGTTATGGATCCAATAGGTTCGATAAACTTGATTGTGCTCATGGCATAGATGGATTTGGTGAAACGAATATGATCGACTTCATTGCTCGTAATTCAGATAGTTGATCTTTATGTCTGATGAACAACCACATCACGTACAAGTCTAAGACCAATTAGTGTTCATGGACAATCTTGTGAGCCCACACAAAGCCATCAGACCCCTCCAGTGGAGGATGATCAGTTCTACCAGCAAGACCCAGCATTTCTTCCTGATCAGAGAGCCTGCTTGCTTCTGACTCATCTCAACCACATCTCATGATTCACAGGTTATGATGATTCCAACAGTTCATGCATAAAATTCCAATAAAACAGGAAACCCAATTACTCATGCCATGTTGATTTGGTAGTCTTGCAATTGGTGTCAAAGTAGAACAAATTTAGGATACGGTGTTGTGGATCAAATCAGCCATTACTAGGAGAAAGTTTAAGCGACAAGGAGAAGAAGATTGAATGTTAATATGATTAGGTCTGCCATATGCGCAATTGCTAACGATCCACGATTGCCACCACCTTGTAATGTAGAAAAAGATGAGAGGCGTAGTGCGATCAAGAGATGTGTGATCTTTTGGAACTTTTAGTTGGTGCAGGAGATTGCACTGCCTGAAATCGTACGAAAAGAAGCATGCACGTCTGCATGATCACATTAACAACTACAGAAGGCCAAAACCACAGCACTCTCACCAATCTTCTGATCACTTCATGCCCTGTGATTCATGCAGTGAGCCACCATTTCCACGTCTTCTTCCTTGTGTTCAGCACTCGAGAATCTTTGCTTTGTTTCCAATTCTTTTTGGAGAATGATTGGGCACTCAAGAATCGAAGGATCCACACCTTCCTAACTCTTTATATTGTAATAAACTTTTATGCCAATCTGTATGATCTTATCCTATCAAACCAAGGCAAAGAGATTTGATCCATCGATTCATGCGACCTTCTTTCATGGTGCTCAATGAGCGAGGCAATAACTCATCATCATCAACATGCAGACTTTGACTGAAATCCGAGTTAAAAGAGATAAAGAGAAGAAGAACAAGACACGAGCTGAATGCCTAGGGATATAGATAGAGCTCTCATCCTCGATACAAGGGATGGATGTTCCATGGCAGACCTAATATTACCTACCTAAGGCATTTAGAGGCATGATAGGAACTTACCAAAGTTCCCCGCAGTTCAAATAAGTTTCACCACTGGAGAAGCTAATGCCCGCACCACTTAGAAAAGGTGATCCAAAGATGAGGTAAAGCTAGCTGTGCTTTTCCCAAATGACACCCCAATAATCCACATTAATCTGTCTGGGAGGATCGAGAGATTACATACGATACAGGCGTAAAAATTTATTGGTTGTGAGTGTATGCCCAGATGATCTAACTATCATCATTATATAAGGGAAAGAATTATGATGAGCTTCTGATTTGACAGGCTAATTAATCTTGATTGTATCGGCATAGGCTAAGGTGAGATGCTGCTAAGGAGAGTGAACTCAGGCATATATGCCTACCGATTGGTACCATCTGCACACCACTGTAAAGTTATTATTCCTAGGGTTCCTGATTCCTTAAACCAGTCATCCTCAACGTAAGCTCGATCGGATCGTGCATCAAGAATCATCCTCAAGAAAGAAAGCTTGACAGCTCCCGCTCGCTGGCGTCGCACGCGGCGAACAGATTAAGTAGCATCTGCGTGGCTGGAAAAAGACAGATAGATTTATAGATAGATACGCCCCTCATCCTCCAAACTGTGTCGGAGTACTACAAGACATACGTTGCTCTCGGAGCAGCTGGGAAGAGTTCGCAAGCAGTCTGACCAGCTCAACAAGCCAACTGCAGTTTGATTCTTTGCCTTCGATGCTTCTTCTGCCAGCTGATCAGAAGCTCTCACCGAGGGATTTGGTCACCAAATTAAGAAAAATTCTTTTACGATTCTCAACCGGTGAAGTGTTACACGAAAAGGATCACTACTGACGCACTACCATCGCTCTTTGGCGAGCAAGTTTGCAAATGGATATGATCCATCTCACTCTTCTTATTGCGCATTAGCTCGTTAATGCCCTCCGAGAAATGGCCGCAATAAAAGCCGTGACGCACTCCAAAACCTGTAAATAACAAGTGGATGATACAAACACTGCTTGTTTCTCTTTCAGCCATGCTCAAGCTACTGCTACCTCTTGTTATCTTCTCCATCCAAGTTGTCACGTTGGTATAAGAAAAAGACAGTAAGGAAGAAGAAGGAGATTCGAGGGGAATATGTGAAACATACATTCATCTCACACAATATTGGGAAGGTGAGGAAGCCGAAGGTGAAGATGGTGGGTTGGTTGGGTGAGCCGCAGTTGCAGTTCCCACTTGCTTCATATTCTAGTAGAGATATGTGATGAATAGCCAGCCGTTCATAAGTGGTTTGGCCTATAAGAAAGATGATAAGAGGGATCCAACATCGATGGCCAGTGCCGTCGACCGCTATTCACCACCTCCTCTATAAATACTACGACCGCCACTTCCCCATGAAGGACGCAAAGACGAACATCTCATCCTCACCACTCTCACTTTCACATATATACATGGAGGCCGCCGTCGAGCTCCACCAAATCGAACTCCAAGTCCTTAAACCCGTGGCCGCCGCCGCCACCGGTAGGGCCCTGTCCAAGTTCTCCATGCTCACTCGTTTCCATGCCGGCTACTTCCGCATCAGCCTCTCCCTCTGCGGCCAGGCGCTGCTGTGGAAGACGCTCATCGAGCCGTCCACGGACGCGCGCGCCCTCCGCGCCGTGGTCAGCCGCCTCCCCTCCTTCGCCTTCGTCCTCTTCTGGTCCCTCGCCTTCCTCACCCTCCTCGCGCTCTGTTTCCTCTACGTGGCCCGCTGCGTCCTCCGCTTCCGCAGCGTCCGCGCCGAGTTCGCGCACCACGTCGGCATGAACTACCTCTTCGCCCCCTGGATCTCCTGGCTGCTCCTCCTCCAGTCCGCGCCCTTCCTCCGCCCCAACACCAACGGTTACCTCCTCCTCTGGTGGCTCTTCTCCCTCCCCATCCTTGCCCTCGACGTCAAGATCTACGGGCAGTGGTTCACCCAGGGGAAGAAGTTCCTGTCCACGGTGGCCAACCCCACCAGCCAGATCTCGGTGATCGGGAACCTGGTGGGGGCGCGGGCGGCGGCCCAGATGGGGTGGAGGGAGAGCGCCCTATGCATGTTCTCCCTGGGCATCGCGCACTACCTCGTGCTCTTCGTGACGCTATACCAGCGGCTCCTGGGCAGCAACTCGCTGCCAGCCATGCTGCGGCCGGTGTTCTTCCTCTTCTTCGCGGCGCCGAGCATGGCCAGCTTGGCCTGGGACTCCATCTCCTCCACGTTTGACACCCCTTGCAAGATGCTCTTCTTCCTCTCCCTCTTCCTCTTTGCTTCTCTGGTAACTCAATCAGCAGCATACTTAAGCTTCCTTCCACTAGTTTCTTTGCTCTCATACTCTTCGCAGAACCCCCACTACTGAATTCTTACGTAATTTTCTTTGCTTGGTTTTCATTATACGTTCTCAACTTTACTATACAAAGTCAACTAACAAACAGGTAGTCAAATTTACTTCGCTTCTTATGTAGCAAGCCATCAACCATGTTGATGATTCCACAACGCCTCGATAGCTCTAAAACATATCACCACCTCACTGACCAATATTTAGTTGTCGTCGTACTAATTCCACTTGCTACCTTTCCCTACTCTTTGATGGCACCATCAAAAACGAACAGCATCCATGGAATATAATCGAGAGATAGAAACAGAGTTGTTCTTAGCTAGAGATGGAATATCTTATCATTTAATCTCACACGCACATCTTGTATGATCTCGTCCAGCATCTTAGCTCGAGTTTCTAATTCGAGGTGCCTAATAGTGGTGGTGGTTCAGGTGTGTAGGCCAGCGCTGTTCCGGAGATCTATGAGGAGGTTTAGCGTGGCGTGGTGGGCGTACTCCTTCCCGCTGTCGGTGCTCGCGCTGGCCGCCACCGAGTACGCCCAGGAGGCGAAGGGGGCGGTGGCCAACGTGCTCATGCTGGTCCTCTCGGTGCTCTCCGTGGTGGTCACCCTTGTGCTGATGGTCTTTACGGCGATAAAGACCAATGACCTACTGCCCCATGACGACCCCTTTATGTGCTCATTCGACAACATGCAATGAACTGGGAGTTTATCTGCCTCTTGATCTGCCCACCCTATGCTGCAAGAACATACGTATACATCTATATAAACTGTACAAATCTATCTTCTTTATGTAATCTTCTTCATTTATATGAATGCCTATATTCTTTCTCTTTCTCTCGAAATCCAATAGCCACAAAGCGACTCCTCTCTCTCTCTCTCTCTAATATGTATATATACAGCTTGGAACGGCTTGGAAAGACTAGGAATATCTGTGGCAGGAAGTGGGGTGGGATACCAAGTCCATGTATGACAGTGAAATGCAGTGAAGCCAATGTGGGGAAGGGAGAGTGCACCATGTCAGTGCTACGGCAGTGTCAAAACTGTAAGAGATCAGATGGGCCACTTCTTTTTTGGATATGATGTTGGATGAAACCTAAGATACCGGTTCCGTTTGTCTGATATGATGTTGGATGCATTCGGTAGAAGTCCCACCATGACTAAGACCTTGTTTGCACCGCAAAGCAGTCCAAGAAGAACGTGCGTAGACTCGCAGAAACTGGAATAATGCTTCGTCCATGCCGAATCCAATGACTCGTGAAGGAGCAAAAGGAAGCTGATTGGAACAACCACACAGCGAGTCTTCCATCCATGACTACACCTGTTGGTATTCGTTATTCCGTAGCCGATGCGGCACCGGATCCGGTCCGAGGCATCATTCAATGCCGCGTCACTTTGATGTGGTCGGTCGTCGCATCTGTCTTCGCTTCCTCTCCTCGTGTGCTCCACGGAGGCGGCCATCCTTTGACCCACCCCATCAAGAGAACATTGAGGATTAGATGGAAAGAAAAAGGAGATGTGGACGTGTATGGTCTTTATTGATCCAATGCTGATGCGTGAACGAAATGGTGACAAGAGTGGGGAAGCAGTTTGGTCTTCGATCCTCTAAAATAGTAAGCAACGAGAGAAAAAAAAAGGAAAGAAAGTATGATTGGTTCTGTTTATCGCCACGAAACAAAAGAAGCCAAAGCTTGAGATGGTCAACTGTTATTGGTACTGTTCCGGTTCTCGTCGTTGCTTGCTGCAGCTGGTTGTGTTGGCACTACTGTGGCTATTGTCATCGTTTCCTGTTCGATGATTGCCGGCGCCGCCGATGATCGAAGATATGGCCGCCGCAACCGCTGCGGTGAAGTTGGGGTCCGCCGTTATGACCGCGCTCACTGTATCGGCCAGAGAAGGTGGCGCGACGGACTGGGCCTTTGGGTGCGCCAGTTGGGCGGGATCCATCTCCGGTGACATCTGAAGGCCCGAGAATCTGGATTGGTTTTGTAGCGGTTGCCCGAAGACCTGCGGCAGCGGCGGAGCGGCGCTCGGGAATGGCAATTGGAACTGCAGAGGGCTGGGACTTTGGGTGAGGTCCAACGTCACGGTGGGGAACGGCGCCGAGGCTGATATGCTCGCCATGCTCGACGAGCACGGGAGAACGGTTCTTGCAAGAAAGTTGGAACTCATCGGCCCGTCGGCGCTCGGCATCGACCCCGATACGAGCATCGACGCCGCGGCGGAAGTGGTCGACGCCATCGGTATGGCTGCCGGCGGGAGCGGATGGCTGTGAGTGCCCTCGTACGTTGTGATCAAGATCGAACGGTCGTCGGCGCACCTCTGTACCTGTTCATGGATTCTCTATGTTCAGCTCCGCACAATTGGTTGTCCGATTGTCATGACATACAATTGCACCGACGAAGAAAGGGGAAATCACCTGCTTGCGGACCGGACACCCGGTGGCCATGGTGCATCGGTAGTAAGCCCGAGGGCAGGGGTTTCCTTTGGCCATCTTCTGTCCATACTTCCTCCACTGGCATCCATCGGTGATCTACCTTACGAGAGAGAACATCCATCACCAATCTAGATTTTTTGTGCAGATGCATCACACCTACAGCGTAGAGAGCCTTACCGTGGGAGCTTCAGACCTTGCTCGAACGGACACACGGGCTTTTCTCATGGTGGCGTCCTCGGCTCGCTCGGCGGACTTGGAAGGAGCTAATCTGGGTGTTTTGTTACTGTTCCAGCCATGTTCTGCTCTATCATCTTCCCTGACATGCTTCTCATGATCGAGTGAAACTTCTGTGTGGCTTCGCAGCGACAAACACGGGTCCCTGCTCGTGGAAGAAGAGTGGGATGGCTCATCGATATCCCCGCCCGGTCCAAGATCCATGAACTGCCGCCTCGGGACCACAGCTCCGTCATGCTCATCATGGCTCTTCTCTTCCATCTTCTTGTTCTCTGGTTCCTGTGGGTTTCCGGAAGTGCGTCGTTGTTGCGTCAGTGCGACGAGCTGCATCTGAAGGGCGTTGTAGTTGGTGGTCAACTGGTTCAGCATCAACCTCAGCTTGTTGTTCTCTTGGTTCATGCGCGCCAGCTCTGCTTGGACGGCGGTCAACTGAGACAATCAAGCGCGGAACCCAAATCACTTCAATCGAACGCCATGGTTCGGATGGACAATTAGCCTTATCGTTCTTACCTCGCTCTTGCCTTCTTTATCGTCCTCAGGTGGTGACATCCCGTCGTCCACCGTCGACAGGTCGCTGCGCGTGTTGGACAAGTGCAACCCAGTCTACACAACATGCAAATCCAAAACCTTGCGATCAATACCTTCTCTTACATGCATGCAAAATAGAAACCTGAGGGGATCGAGTTCTGACTAACGTTGACGGAAAGGTCTTCTCTCTTGATACAAAGGCTCGGCACCTTGAGGTCGAGTTCCGGCGCGGCACAGCTCGTCATCGTCATCTTCTTTTTCTCGTTCGAGAAGAAATCCATCTCGCTGATGACGACGGCCCGGTTCTCTCTTGGTAGCGGCGTCGATGCTTCCGCCACATGAGCATCCTTGAAGCCGACGCCGGAGCGGTGATGGTCGGAGTTCATCGGCTGATTTTGGTGTGAAGGAGAGGTGAGTAAAAGGGAGGAGGCGGTCGCCAACGTGAGCCCTGCTGCCGCACTACCTCGACCATCCATATGCAGCGACTACGAAGGGAAGGTATATATGGAAGACGGAAATCGCTGACCGAGGGGACAGGGCGGGCAATAAAGAAAGGCCGGCTTGTGCGTGACGGGAGATGGTGCGTCAGTGGGGGCCACCGAAGACCGAACAAGAACGAAGAAAGAAGAAGATGAAGACCCCGTCGAGGATTATTATACGGACAGAAAGAAAGAACGAAAGAATCACGATCGACGAAGGTAAAGAAGGAACGATGGGGGAGGGGGGTGATGAAGAGCGAGCAGAGGGTGTTGGGTTTGGCGAGTCAAAAGAGTGCGAACAATAAAAACGATGCCATGAATGCCGTCTCCGATAACCGCGGCGAGCTTCATGTTGGAGAAGCTGTCAACACCTTTGACTGGACCCACTCTACCCTTCCATCTCTCCCCCATCATCCTTCTCTCTCTCTCTCTCTCTCTCCTCAGACTCAAAGACCGTGGGGAAGAATTTGTGTATGTGTAGAGAGAGAAGAGAGAGAGAGAGAGAGAGAGAGAGAGAGAGAGATATGCTAGAGAGGCGGTGGTTTGACCGCAGGCGAGGCGCGCTCACGGGCGGCCACGAAGGCGAGTCGTGGACTTGAGACCGCAAGCCGCGCCCTTCTCGTGAGCGCCATTAGCTTGACTCTGAGAGAGAGAGAGAGGTCCATGCTGTTCTGGTCTCGAATCATAAATCCTCCCACTACATTGGACGTGTTGGCAATCCTTTCTTGCATGAATCATGGTTTCATCACACCAGAGTTGGAAGACAAATTGAAACCTGGACAAGAGACTTCCAACATGGGATTCATTGCTGCCATGGACATTGAAGAAACAGTCGGAATGGACGGCATAGTTTGATGCTGAAGTCTCGCTTGTCGTTGCATGCAGATGCCAAACAAAGAAAAAGGAGAATTCTGACTTTGTGGATGCATTCAAATGACCGGAAACATTAAACATTAACGAAGTGTCGTTGACACAACCCTTTCCTATCTAGAAATATAACTACACATGACAACATTGATAGTTTAAGTGTTAACTCCCTCATCAATTACCTAACATAGCTTAAGATTAACTCCCCCAGTCTAATTACGTTGTGCTTTTAGTCCTATTCATTTTTAGATCTGTTCAGTCACTCAAATATCATTTGTTATGACCTGACCCAATATAATGATAATAGATTCACTTTATGTATCTCTAATTTCCTCTCACTATTTATATAGATTTAAGATAAAATGAAGTATGGAATATGGATGTGGTAACACAGATGAGAAAATAGACAAATGTGACGGCACTGCTACACGAGGAGGAGACTTCATAGCTCAGGCTGAGCATTGTTTCACCCAGAAATCTGTACATTTACCTTAGTAGCAGATCAACAAGGCAAAGTATGGAGAAGGATCTGTAGGAGAAATTAAGGAAATACATAGTAAGGCAGAGGAAGGGTTCTACAAGCCCTTAGCACCTGGAATGTCGACCCACTGCAGCTGCAGCTCGACTTCACCTCGTTCCACATCTTTGAGCCTGAGAGCGAGGTCTTGAGTCACCTGCCCATGGCACCACCGCACAACGCTCTCTTCCGCCAAGCAGTTCTGTCTGCAGGGCACTACCTTCCGTATTATGGTGCCCTCGGGAACGCCTTGCGGGTTCATCTTCACGGCCTCCAGAAATGGGCGGATGTCGAACTCCGCATGGCCCATGGCGTCATCCTTGGTGAATCGGTCCTTGTCGAACACTTGCTGCACGCAGTCACCGGTGGAAGATGATGAAGCATTAATGACTAGGAAGATGAAATATAGTATCGCTCGAATTCTTAGTTTGGAACACACAAGCCTGACAGGAAGTGAAGGATCCTCGATGCAGAGTGTCAAGTCTTCGTTCCAAACAGGATTAGTATTCTTTTTTATTACTCTGGTCTTCAATTTCTGCAGCAAAATGAAGAAGAATGAGAAGAAGAACCGAAGAGAAAACCACTAGATGCATCATATGTTCTGGATGGCTCGGCGGCAAAGAATGATGCCAGGTTTTGATCAGTATCATGCAATAACCATCATACTGCAGCATCGTAAGGTTGTCAAGAACTTGAAGCGCCAAAGCTAGCAGAACTCAGAGGAACAGGAGAGAAGAGATTGGGGAGGAGAACCTGTTTGCCCATCCGGAGGACGACGTAAGGGTCGCTGGTGGTGACATCTCGCACGGCGAGGTTTACGCCTCTCGCCACCCGCACCCTCAGCAGCCCCAGCAAGTGCTCCACCATCACGCGCCTCCTCCTCCTCCCAAGCCGCTATCGGTCTCCCACCACCGCAAGAGTCGAGCTGCTCATATAGAGGAAGAGAACGAAACAAAGGAGGTGGCAGAAACGTGCCAGCAAAAAAGAATACTACTGCAACGCACGTTATGATGCTTCAGTCTCCTATATATATATATATATATATATATATATATATATATATAATACTCATTTTGTTATCTGTACAATAATAAAAAAATTATAGTACAGGAAGAAATAAATGTAATACAACAGTATGTCTAAATCTCAATATACAATATCCAAGTTCTTCCTACAGTTCATTCCCCTTCAGTTTCCACTTTCAAATTCTGAAAACCAAAAAAATACAGTTCAACTTGAAACATTCTAACAGAGTATAAATGAATCTTCGCAAAAAATTGCCATGAACAAGAATGAATAGCATGATAAGTTGCAGACATCCGACGTAAAAGAAGACAAGGAAATTATGAAAAATCTATTTATCATGCTGAAAGCCACGGGGTATTTTGTTCATCATGAAGCAATGGCTGGTCCATGAAAATATGAGATAATTGGAAGAAAAGCCAATGACATCTTAAAATCAATGCAAACTCATGGCGGCACAAAAATACTTCATCGGTGCTAATTGTTCAATTTTTAGAATAGGAACCACATACAGAGATGCATTTATTCCTCAGAGCATGGTATTGGTTTAGTGACAATATCTGTAGATCAATTGTTTTCTGTAAGCAAAGAGTACCATCTTCTGAAAAATATAATAGACCATGGCTGCCCATCGATACAATGCCACTGAAGAAAAATCTAGCTTGTAGAAGAAAGAAGCACCGGAAGAAAAAAATCTTCAAACTGAACCAATTCTTTGAAGAACAAAAAGAAACTTGCAGCCTTCCTTGTGCATTAAATTTTGCTCAAAGCATGTGACTTGAGGGGAAACATGGTTGCTGAAATTTAAGAATCTTCAAATGAACTGATGGATCCTAACAGAATCCTCAAATCATTGATGTCATCAATCACTCCCATGTATTCTGATCTTTGATTATGTATCTCAGCATCCAATGCTGCAATCATTCAGAAATTAATGTTTGTATTAGCATATGACAAAGTGAGTTGCATGTCTGCCTTATACTAAGATATTAATTACAAATTCATAATTTTAACTTTTAAAGGCCAATGTACCAGAAATTCATCTAAACACGGAAAGTCGACAACATAAACTATCAAATAATACACCTTCAGGGATTTCCATCAAATACACTGTTGATAAAGGAAATAAAATAAAGTCCTTATGAATTATTGATGCTCTTTAAAAATTCAGCTTTGTGAGCAAATATCTTCGGTTCAATTACATTAGCTCTTAAACAGCCCCTATCATGTTTCATTTCCACTTCTTTGTACTTCCAAATGGCTAGCAGTACCATGTGGCAGTATCAAACAACTTAAAACACTGTTTTCCAGCTTTAACATTCCATCAATTATCGTTAACCTTTATTTCCATTATGGCATGACCAAATTACTAGTCTCTGTCATCTTCATATTAGCCTCTCAGCAACACTGAACACAAATTTTTTAAGTTATTTCAGATATAAAAGTTATCTGTCCTCCACCACAAAACTCAATGCAATGTATAGCCAACTTTCACCACAGTCCCATGGTACCTACGACATGTAATGTTGTGTTTTCAAGTTGTGGACCAACGAAGAGAACAATCCTATCTCTATGGTGGGCAAAAACCATCACCCATCATGACTCACAGTCCAAATAAGCTGTAAGCTTGCGAATGAACCAGAATAAGGATCCAGTACTCTCATCTTGTGGCTCGTGCAACGTGAACCGTCTTTAGCTTTAACCAATATGTATTTGAGTCTTAGTTTGATTAGCGACAGTCTTGATTAACGATTTTTCTGTAGCAAAAGGCAAGAACTGGGAGTCACAAGAAACATATATTATCATAAAGAGAAAAAACATAGGAACAAATAGTGTAGAACTTTTACACCTATCACAGGTAGGATTTAAGAAAGAAATATTCTATGACAAGAAATGATTAACTAATTACCTGAATTAGACTTGTGAATTTCTTGAAGAATCTCTTCAATAAGTTCCTCAGTAGAACTTTCTAGGGCAGTCATTTTCTTAGTCACAGTTTGTTTCTCATTTTCAAGTGCCTTTTTTTCTGATAAAAGGCGACTTAATTCGTTATTTTTCGCAATTGTCATATCATCTTGAAATTCACAACATTGAAGAATGAACTTTTCCCTAATAAAAAAATATATAAAAATCAAAATTTGACCTTACAAGATTATTCACTGATCACATTCTTGAGGGATCAAAATAAAGGTACAATTCTGATAATAATAACATAAAAATTTACATACATTTGGAACTAATATTATTCGATCATCTGGAAAAGGCAACACAAGGAACACATTCTTAAGATGGCTTATCAATCAAATATACGATACTAGAATGAACAAATATGGCGTTAGGGACATAAAAATCTATGAAATTTCAAATCAACAGTAAAGGTACAGACATAGTCATCATAGTTATTTAAGGAATATGTCAAAAGTGGACAAAATAAGAATATGTATCATAAATGCTTAGATAAAAAAATGCTAACAATATGCTGAATGATTAAGGACTACTCTCATGTTTAAGATGCTTCAGTGAAGAGAGAAGTGAACCACTAAAATATTTACCATTGCAAGCACTTAGTTGAAAATATTTCAGGTTTCATAGGAATCATGACAAGGGAATTTTGTTGAACAACCTCAGCTTGCAGTGTCTGTGTCATTTTTTGGGTTTCCAAAATCCTAGACACTCCAAATGGAAAATCCAAGAATTCGAGTAGAAACATGAATATAGACATGTATTGTCAGTTTTTCAATGAGGTAAAACTAATGTTCTAGTTCATCTACGTAATAAATACTGAAGACATTTTATAACCTTAAGCTCATTCTGTAATTATGGTTCACTATCTGTTTTCCGATTGAAGAGAAAAGATCATGCAGTTTCAAGATAATAAAAAAACAAATAAATGGCAACAGAGATGAACTAAGAATAATCGATTAAAAATCTCCATACGTAAGAACATATATAAGTTGCAAATGAAGATTCCAGGAAATACCTTTTATCATAAATTCTTTTCTCGATGATATCACGGTTAATCTTCAGAGATCCTGATTCCCTTTCCATTGATTCTGCAGAGGCCCTTGAAATGGCTGTTCAGAGAGGAATATCAGGTGTAAGCAAATGAATATTTTATCATTTTTCTTATGCTTACTATAGTATTCATATTTCAGGTTTTGACAATAGCAAATCACCAACAAGCAAAATTTAGGACAAGTTAAAAGACAACAAACTTAACTAGTTAAAAAGAATAAGTATCAGAGTAACTAAAAATGGCCCCTTGATGTGCCCCATGCGATAGGTAACAGCTGACAGTCAATTGACTTCAGTCTTGTGCCAATGAGGGGACCGGAACCACTAAAATAAAACGAGCATGGTGGAAGACTATCCAGACTTGATCCACCATGAGATCCAAGAGTGTACTGGGTTGTATGTGGCAATATAAAAAGGATGTCAGAATTTGTATGTGAAAGATAGTTATACCCAAGGAGTCTCAGCAAGTGTGCTGGGCACCTTACTGAGATATACATTTTTGTTTCAGCCCCTGAATGGTACAAGCACAATACTCTATTCGTTGTCAAACAATAACTCTAGGCAAGAGAACCCGGAAAGTATGAATTAAAAGAGACATTAGTCTAAATTAGTCAGACTAACTATAAATAAGAATATGAGGAAAACATCATAAGCACAAACCATTACCAGCTACTTGGATTGAAGCTTCAAGCTCAAAACCCCTAACTATTATGATCTTTGACAACTCACATTCCCTCATGATATGACCATCTTCAATTTCAGAAAGCTTTAAAATTTCTGACTCAATTTCTCTTGTCCTCTGAATAGTCTTCTCAATCTCTTCATTGACCTACCGAACACCATTCAGAACAATCCATTACTATCTTGAAAATAGCTTGTCAGTTTTGCTTCCTGTCCAGGAAAACAAAGATTCTGAGACAAACTATTATAGTTTATAAGAAATATTAAAGAAGCAAGTTTACAAGAGAAGGAAAGTCCCAAAAAGCAAGGAATTTGGCATATCTGGATGCCACAATTATCAAATGGCTATTAGTATTCTTAAATTTAACATGACATCGCACCGAGTCATCCGGTGGTAACAACGAATAACTAGTTGAGTCACAATCGGCAAAGAATGAGATCTAACCAACTAAATGTCGCGCCTAGTTAGAAACAATATCATAAAACATCACTAACATAATGGGTTAATTTGACATCCAGGATTGCTGAAATATTGAGGCCATTTACATATTTAGGTTGGTTAAGATCTATTAGACATGGCTGGTCTATTGAATCCAAGAATGCCTTTACCTCCTAGTCAGTTTTAGTAATTCAACCTACCACTCAATTCACTTGATTTCTTGCATTTTCGATTTCAAGAATTATGAACGAACTAGAAATTTGCGCTTTCCAACTATTCTTCTTCTTTGGCATTACCAATCAAGCTTGCTAGATTTGTGAGTCCTAGAACAACTTTTCCAATCAAACGTAAACGAAAGGAACACAAACGAAAAATGCTATATCAGGTTGCTTGCATCCGTAAAGCTGCCTCATAAATATGGTGAATGACCAAAGCATATCACTTACCTAATATCGTAAGATGCGAGGATTTCTCCAATAACAATTCACCATACTGTTTAACATCAGAAATTGAACCCGTAATCCACCAAACAATAATCGGGAAACCTGTTCAGGTTCTGGTTTGGTAGGTTTTTCTAGGATATGGAAGACCTAAATCGTCCTGGATGGAGAGATAAAGCGACAAAGAGGCAAGGCGATAGATGTTTGTTGAATTGACTTGACAGGAGAGAGAGAGAGAGAGAGAGAGAGAGAGAGAGAGACTCGTCACCTGGTCGAGCATGTCCTTAAAAGAGGATATCTCGCGAAGAATGGCGCCGGAGTCCTCCATCGTGTTCGACATGTCGATCACGGGAAGAGCGAGGAAAGGCGAGGTCAGAGCCCACTGACTCGGGTGCGCTTCCAAGGAGATACGCCCGCTATGTGTTTGATACAAATTCTTTGGGAAATTTCCGAAAAAGCCCTTTCCTTTTTCCTTTTCCTCGCTTAAGTTCTCGTTCTATTAGTTTCTGTTACTTAAAAGCAGTCTCCTCGCTGGCAGCTGACGTGGCATAAATAGAAACGGATAGAATAATTCTCAAATAACAAAAAAAATTAATCAATTTACCCAAAAATCCCTTAGTAATCCAAATAATATTCTTATATTTAATTTTTACCAACAACATCTTTTTTATTTAATATATGGACGATGTACTTGAATCAATTTGTTTGATGCCAGATAGATTCGTGGGTTAGTTCAGTTTGATCAGATTGTCTCGATGAATTCAAGTTTATTGAATCTCGGATTTTGATGATGAAATCAATTGATAAGTGTTTTGAGTGACGCATGATGCTTCGATTAGGATGAGACAATTAAAACAGGAAGAATCATGTTGAGCCGGGAGAAAATATATTAGAAGATTGGATGTCGAGTCGGTGGATCGGTCGACATATCGACAGAAGGCTTCGGGCCATGGATTCGGGCATCGGGCCAAGAAGAGTGGATATTGAGCCAAGGATATCGGAGTTGCAGAGTCAACTGGCCGATTGGGCAATAAGTCACAAGAGAGGACGATGCGCCGAAGAATCGGACAAAGCGTCGATGGACCAATGACATGCCGAACAACATGATTCATGCTTAATAATAATTGTCTAGATCGAAGTATGTTTTACATGTGCAGGATTAACTACGATAGCAAGACATGAAGCGAAATGAAGTCTCAGAGTCAAGGACGCAATTTCGTTGGGAGTTTGAGAGTTTGTCGGAAGTCCACACGTTCGTCGAAAGTTCTACAGGAACCGACCGAGAAATCCAAGAGCTTGCCGGAAGAAGCTCGTCAGAACTCGCCAAGAAGATCGTCATGAAGTCTAGGAGCTTGCCGGGAGTCCGCTAGAACATTACCGAGAGATCATCGGAAGTTCACCGGAAGAAACTAAGACTTCCAGACTTATTTAGCTTAAGTATGTCTTATATTTCGTAATTAGTACGTAATTGGGTTTGGAATTGGGCAAACTCAATTATGGGTCAGTTGGGCTCATGTAAGAATTGTGTTGGGCCCAATAAGATGCCCAAATAATGACCCAAGAGGTGAAACCGTCGTGGCACTGTCTCCGAGACTGTGTCAGGCAGTGGTACCGCCAGTCTGAGCGGTGGTACTACCCCTGGCAAGGTGTCAGGTGGTGGTATCGTCAGTTTGGGCAGTGGTACTGCCTAGCACAGCCTCCCAAGCAGTGGTACCGCCCAATGCAGTGTCAATGTTAGACTAATATTGGCGATGGTACCGCCCAGACTCAGGAAACCCGGGATGAGATGTTTTTAGGCTCCAAGTTTGAATCAACTTGGAGCTTATAAATACCCCTCTCATCCTTGGTTAACATACACAAGCACAGAGAATTTAAAAAGGGTAAAACGCTGTTGTAATCTCTTGTGAAAATCCTCCTCTTCTAGTCTAAGTATTAAAATAGTTTGAGAGAGGAGTGAGTGCTTGTAAGGGTTGTCTCCTAAACTCAGTAAAAAGAGAAAAGGGGTGTAAGAAGGATATTGATCTTCGTCTATTAAAGGAAGATCGATAGTGGATGCCAATGGCCTCGACGGAAGAGAAATCAGAGGAGTGGATATAGGGTACGACGATCGAACCATTATAAATCGGTTTGCATTTCTGTTTTGCTATTTATCTTAACTGCAAACTGCCTTCCTTTACCTCAACTATACTTCTGTATGCTTTTAATTTAAAGATCTTTCCGAAACGGTTTATATTGAAATCAGATTTTATCGTACGAAGGTTTTTCAAATCGACATAATTTTTACCGTTAAACTAATCTTTTCCTAACAGAGTCAGATCCATTTGATTAACCCATGAATCAGTTCCTCCTTTCTCTTTCTTGTTTTTTCATCCTATTTTATTTTTAATTATCTTTTATTGTTCCCTCCCTCGTCTCATTCTCATTTGTCTCGGACTCTTTACGATTTATCTATAAAATTTATTACATTTGAGTTACACTCAAATAATAGTTAAGTTATATTCATTCATATAATTTATTTAAAATATATTATTTTATATAAAAGTATTTTAAATTTATCATAAAAAAATTAGGAGCATATTTTAGTAAAATTATCAAAGTTGTGATAATTTTATTTTAAAATTATTTAATTTTTAAAAAAAATAGGATAGATGATTTAGTTTAAGTTAGTTCAGTTTGAAGTGCCATTAAGCCAACATAAAAAATATAAGATATAAGATATTATGATTAGTTTTACGAAGAATAATTGTATATAAAAATTAATATATTTTAAATAATATCTTAAGTTTTTTTAGTTTCGTAATAATTTTAAGATAATTTTATACCTTAATTAATCCATTTAGAGCTGAACGAGTTAATCCATTTTTATGCACGATTACTAATCCAAAAAAAAAAAGAAGAAGAAAAACTTCATCACCTGCCATTGATAATGTGGTCATCAATGACTGCTATTTTAAGCGAGTCATTTCATCAAATACTCTGTCTACGTTGTCTACCAACTTATACGTTTGACTTCCCTTGAACGAGGCGATACGGTACGTCACTGTCTCGGGATGCCAAACCCATCTGATACGTCAACCGATCATAACGAAGGGTCTCAACAGTCGTCCACAGAGACGACGGCGACCGTCTCGTCGCGCAGTCATTTCCGTGCTGCTTTCTCGTTCTAATAATAAACGAGTGAATTCGCGTGTAGTTTTCGAGGTATTCCCCACCCCGCTCCCTCCTTTGACGAAGGGGCGAATCCGTGCCATGTTTTCGACGCAGCTCGGCGTGCTCGGTCGCTCGACGATTCCACAGCGCGCCTTGGAATTCGTGGGCCAGGAGAGGAGGAGGAGGACGTCAGAACTGAGAACTCCACTTCGACTGCAGGTTACTTGTGCCAGACCAGAGCAGAGAGGTGAACTCGCCACGGTGGGTCCTCCCCACCGTCAGATCCAATTCGTAGGCGGTGGATTTTGTCGCGGAATCACGGCGTCGCCATGTGTTTAGAATCCAAAGCTGGATTTGATCGAGTAATCCGGTCGGCACCTTCGTTCGTTCTCGCTTTGGTTTGGGGATGGCAAAGATAAAATTGGGCGCTTTCATCTTCTTCTTTCCTTTTCCTGTGTCATCTTCCTCTGTCTGACTTGAACATTTCTTTCTTGATCCTTCCTTCGGTCTTCTTTGGGCGGCTCCTCGTTTCCCCGGTCTTCTGCGATCGCTATCCGCATCTACATTGGCAGTTCTCGACGCATCCGGGAGCACCACTCCGCCTCTGTTTCTCTCTCCATATAAACGAAAGAGGAAGATCCGTGTAGCCATGGCGGCCAACAAGTTCGCGACCGTCTTGCACAGGAACGGCAACAAGATAGCGGTGGTACTCGCGTACGCCGTCCTGGAATGGACCCTCATCCTGCTGCTCCTGCTCAACGGGCTCTTCGCCTACCTCATCGCCCGGTTCGCGGACTTCTTCGGCCTCAAGCCCCCCTGCGTCTTCTGCTCCCGGGTGGACCACCACTTCGAGCACCGGGCCGATGGTCGCGGACGCCGCCAGCGTGGCGCCTGCCGCGACCTACTCTGCGACGAGCACGCCGCCGAGGTCGCAGGGATGGGTTACTGCGCCCGCCATCAGCGGCTGGCGGAGGCCGGGGATATGTGCGAGGACTGCTGCCCGTCGTCGTCGCGGCCCGTGGAGGCCGCGGTACTGTCTTGGATGAAGCGGAGCGAGGAGGGGGCGAAGGATCTGCGGTGCTCGTGCTGCGACGTCGTCATCGAGAGCGGATTCTACTCGCCCTACCTCTTCTTCAAGCCTTATTGGGACGTGTCGGAGAATGACCAGAAGGGGAATTCGGTTGAGGAGATTGCGGTGGGCGATCGCGAGGAGGGTTTCGAGGAAGACGCCATCTTTGGTCGAGAAAAGGTGAAAAAGTGGGAGTTGGTACCTCCAGATCCATCTGATCGATGCCATGAAAAGGAGGAGGATGATGAAGAAGAGAAGGTGGGAAGAAAGGAGGCAACGTGCGCTGCCGATTCAGAGAGGGCGGCGGAGGAACAAGAAGAAGAAGAGGCCCTCATCCAATTCTCCGACGCCTGCTGTTTGGTAGACGACCCTTCCTTTGAAGTCCTCACTCGGCGTCTGGGAAACATATGCGATGACGATGAGGAACGGTTGGTTCCGGTACAGCTGATCGACTCTGCAACCATGACTAAGAGCCCTGCTTCGTTTGTGCTCAGTAAACAACGCCAGCAAGAGCTTGGGCTTGTTGGAGGGGAAAAAGATGGCGGGGTAGTCGACATCGGAAGCATCGCAGAGGAGAGGAAACCGGTGGCTTTCGCTGCAGAGAGGACTGATGCCATGGCTCTTGATATCGGGAGCATTACAGAGAAAAATGGATTGGATTCTTTTACAAAGATGGCTGATATTGTTGAAGTGAATCCTTTGGGGAATGTTGGAGCTGTGCAAGAAGCAAAAGTTCTTGATGTTGGATGCGTTATGGAAGAGGTGAAACCATTGGCCTCAGATGCAGGGAGCGATGATATCTTTGGAGAGAATTGTTCTGTTGATGTTGCAGCAGACCAACATGCTGATGATGTTGACATGAGAAGCATGGCGACAGAGGTCTCTGCCGGAGAAGCAGCTGATACTGTTACGGATAATTCTTCCGACATACACGAAGCTCAACAATGTGCCATGACTGTTGATGAAAGAAGCATATCAGAGGAAAAGGCATTGCCCTCTTCTAAACAGAAAGCTGATACAATTGAAGAGAGTTCTTCTGAGATGGATGGAGCCCAACAACTCACCATATCAGGAGAGGAAAAGGCATTGGCCTCTCCCGAAGAGAGGGCTGATACCATTGTAGAGAATTTTTCTGAGATGAATGGAGTTCAACAATGTGAAATCACTCTTGATACAGGGAGCGTCTTAGAAGATGAAAAGATACCATTGTCTAGGATGGAAGGGGATGATATCGTCAAACAGAATTCCATATATCTTCATGCTTCATCTGATCATCAAACCATTGCTCCTCAAGCAACATCAGTTAGATCACTTGAAGATGTTGTTCAAGTGGAATCATTAAGGAGCGCGGAAGATCTTCCTGAAACAAAAGGTAAGATGATTCACTTTAGGAAAGCAATTTTAGTCCTTATTTTGTTGATATAGTTAATCATATTTTATGTGCTTATCAATATTGCTATCTTCTTGTTGTAAACATACATTTTATTGATGACTATAGATTTTGAAGAAGACAACAAATTGATCGATGTGGACACTGGTTGTGGAATATCTACAGGAAGTGAGATATGCAACCAGGAAAACAGTGATCATGCACATCCTCTTGAGCCAATTTTATTGTCAGAAAGATCAAAAGATCAACTCTCAGAGAGCTATAATGAGATGACTACTATAGACCAAGGTACCAGCTTCAGATCATCGCTTTTATGAATCTTCAAGATAATCAAATTTTCATTTTCATATGACCGCACGGTCATACGCTTAACTCTTATGTGCTAATTATTGCCTCCTCTTTGTTGAAGAAATATTGGTTACTGAAACTGAACCAATGGTGGTGACTGCTGCACAAAGGCCAGACCATGTTGCTGTGTTTGCAGACAATAATGAGATTGAGGAGGAGAGAGTACCTGAGACGCCAACTTATCTTGATGGTATTCATGGTTTAATTAAAAGTTTTTTTCTTGGAAGGAGAGAATCGGGAACAGAGTCTCTAGATGGAAGCGTTGCCGGTGAGTTTGAAGGATGTGATACATTGACCGTAGATCAGCTTAAAGCTGCTTTGAAGGCAGAACAAAAAGCTCTGAGTGCATTATATACTGAGCTTGAGGAAGAGAGAAGTGCCTCTGCCATTGCTGCAAACCAAACAATGGCAATGATAACCAGGCTTCAACAAGAGAAAGCTGCTATGCAGATGGAAGCATTGCAATATCAGCGGCTGATGGAAGAACAGTCGGATTATGACCAGGAAGCATTGCAACTTTTAAATGAGCTGATGATGAAGAGGGAGAAGGAGAAACAAGACTTGGAGAAGGAGCTAGAAGTGTACAGAAAGAAAATTCTTCGATACAAGGCCAAGGAGAGGAGACAAACCGCAAAGCACAAGGTCAATGGTATTGCTGGAACATTCTCTACTTCATCAAGTGCTGAAGACAGTGATGATCTCTCCTTCGAGGTCCATGAAGGGAACGGGTTTGCGTATGATCCTGATGAAAACAATCAAAATACTCTTGTTGATGATGTGTTAAGTTCAGGGGCAAATCAAGGCACTGCAACGCATACAATCACACTTAGGGAATCGTTGGATGATTTTGAGGAAGAGAGGCTCTCAATACTTGAGCAACTCAAGGCATTGGAGAGTGAACTTCTGACATTGGATGATGAAGACTCTCATGATTCAGATGCCATAGAGCATATTACGGATGAAAGTTGTCATGTTTCAAATGGAAATTATGGACCTTCAGGTGATGATTTACATGACGATGCAAATGGTTTGTCAGTTGATCTAGAGGCTAGCAGGAACCTACATGGTGAACAAAGATCCTCGGGTTGTAACGGGAAGAGGCTTCTTCCTCTCTTTGATGCCATAAGCGAGGAAAACGAGGCGGCAGTTGATGCTTCAACTAAAACAAATTCATATCTTGCAGAGAAGCAAAAGAAGCTTGCAATTGTGGAAGAGCTCGATAACATCCACGAGAGACTGCATGCCCTCGAGGGTGATAGAGAGTTTATCAAACATTGCATCGGTTCCTTGAAGAAAGGAGACAAGGGAATACATCTTCTTCAAGAGATATTAGAGCACCTTCGTGATCTGAGGAGCGTGGAACTCCGAGCGAGGAACTCATGCAATGCTCTTGTTTCATTGATGGCTTAGTATGCAAATGATGAAGGTAATTTGGTTCGTCTCATACCTTCAATCATCACATTCTTTATGGTACAGCAATAAGCTGCTTATTCATCGGACTTGAGTTACGGTTTGCTACTTGTAACAATTTTCCTCTACAATTGTACTCTCCACTCCATTCGACATAAAGAAATGTGCACCTAATAGATGTTCCACATGCATTCACTCACACTCACACCTAACGCAAAGGACAAAGACACATAAAATGTCCCCCTTCTCGAAGCCATCTATCTGGCTGATATTATCATTATGGCGACATTGATTATAATAGCTTTGAAATCATTGTACTACAGCATTAACTCTGAATTAATATCTTTGACAGATGGAGGCTACATTATTGGAGTGTGTTCCAGCGAGGAAGATGGTCACACCAGGTGAAATTGAGCTCCTGATATCTGTATTTTGTTGGTGTCTTTGCAAGTGTATAGAAGCAGACAATGGATGGAAGCTGCTTCTCCAGGCTAAGTTTTTTGTGGGCCATTTCTCTGTTTTGTTTCCTTCTATTTTTTTTGTTGTAGGGGTCCATCACCATTGCTGTGGAGCAAAGGGGGATGAGGCAAAGAGGGGTGGTTGGGCAGCCACTCACAATGTGATTGTGGCAGAAATCATAGCTTCCAAAGCTGTACAAAGTCATATATATTTATATATACATATATATTCCAGTGCCAGCTCCAAGTCCAGGTATACAGCAGCATAAAAGAGAGAGAGAGAGAGAGAGAGAGAGAGAGAGAGAGTAGTG